GATACAAGAATCGTACAGTGAAATATCGTGATATTCTGCATCACTGAATTTATTTATTTATTACACACTTTACTGCACTAATACTACACGGTTAAAAATTTGGTAATTATAAGTAAAAAGTGAGACTTTAATCTGTTTTTATGTAAATATGTTGTTTCCTAATATTTTTTTTCTACATAAATATTTGTTTTTGCTGCAGGTGAAGTGAAGTGTAGTTGTTTTTTCCTCGACCAATTGAACGTCCGGAATTTTATTTAGTTGACGACCAAAATTAGTTTACAGCTCTAAAAATGATCTTTAACACTTTTATATAAAATCGTCAGAGTTATAAACCGTCTCTTTTCCTCTTTGTGTCTCTGAGCTGTAAATGTCAAACCTCCACTTGTATCTGTTCTTTTTTTTTTCTTTTTTTTTCGCTCCGAGTCGTTTCTATGAACAAACGAATCATTACCACATTATTACTGACATTTCCCAAAAAAAACAACAAAAAAAACCCTCACCTGAACCGTGCGTTTGTGTAGGACGAGGTCGGACTCGGGTTTAAAACGTCGGAGCGCCAAGGTCACGCCGGCCGCCGCTGTTTATCACTCGCTCGTTATTAGCGCCCGCGGCTACAGAAGCGCGGCTAATTAACTCGTGAATAATCGTGGATCGGGTGATAAATAAAGGTGAGGAGCGCAGGCGGGAGACGTCACGAGATCAACGTGTTACTCTGGAACTTAAAGGGCGTGAAAGGTGGAAGGAAGAGACGATGTTTACGTACAAACAGAGACTCTGTATGAATGTCTCCTCCAGCCCATGACCCCCACTCACTGCACAGACACAAAGTCTGATGGGAAAAGAGAGAAAATAAATAAAAGGATCTGGTCAAGTGTTAACGGAGGAAACAGGGTCAGATTTTTGACATTCAAATGTCTCTTATTCAGAAACTAGAGGAACTATTGAAATAAGTAAAGTATCAGAATGTAGGAAAGAGTTACACTCCAACAGGGTCAAGTTAAACCTGTGAGATTCTTTCAAGTTCAAGACAAAAAATGTAAAAACTCATGTCGGTAACGGAGGGAATGAAATATGCAGCACTTTTTGGTCAATAAATCCAAACAGTGATAACTCTTGGTTCTCACTTCCATATCCTTAACAAACTGGTTTGAATATTTGCTTCATATAGTTTTCTACCATATGGTACAAGATTAGGTTGAAAAACCTCTGACTTTTTGACTCATGAGATTTTTTATTAAGAAAGTTCATGGTAACGGAGGGAAAAGTAACGGAGGGAAAATTGTACAAACAAGTAGAAGGTGCAGGATTTTACATCATTTGTTCACTTTTTTCTTCTGAAAACTTTAATATTACTTCAAAATGAAAGAAACTATTTCTATAAAATATGTCAGTCCTTCCAAGAACATTTTTATCATTTTAAATACTTTTTTTTTTAAATCCTGTCCCTTCATCAACAGTTCAAAGATGGAATAACACAAGATATGATGAAATACAAACATTTATTTACATGATTTTCAGGTCTTTGAAATTTGGGAAATAATTTTTGTTCCATGTTTCATTCATGGTCTGTTTAAAACAGATGGAACTTTAGAACCAAAAATGGAACAGAAAAAAGGTCAACAGTTTGATAAACTCGAGTACATATGTATCTGTTCAATACTGTTTTATATCAGATGAATTCACTTGAAGTTTTGGTCTTGTTGTTTACTTCTGCTGGACTGGGACCAAAAACATCATAGAGCTCAGTTCAAAATTCAAACACGTCTAACATAATTACCAAAACAATTGCAAACTAATAAAAGAGGAATCATGTGTGTTTTTGAACTGGAGGATCAACAGTTTTAGGGAGAAAATCTGTGGATCCAACAAAACTGTGACACTGATTTGATAAATTGTGCCGTATCCACAGAATTATGTCCATGAGGGTTTGGGCAAATCCAAATGTTGTATCCAAATGTTGATCCCGTGATACCGTCTCAGGATTTTACCGGAGTTTACGCTGTTACTGTTTTACCAAAATGTGGTGAAACCACAGCAGGACCAACACGCGCAGCACTGACTCTGTGTTTGTCAGTGTAAAGTCGATCAAACTCGACTGAGGCGTTTATTAAACAAAATACATTTTAAGATATTTAAAATCATGTTAAAAGCTGAAGCACCAACAAAAGAAACTGGATCGACATAATTCACAATATTTACGTTATGGAGAAATTAACTTATGCTCTAAGATTAAAAACAGAGAAATCTGAAAACGATATGGAAGAGTTGGCTGAGTTTTGTTAAAACGATATGTTTGGATTGTATTTGACTGCTCATTTCCCCAACGTTCTGTTCGCTACTAAATTGAGTTTTCTGTAGTATCCCCCCCTTATATTTATTTATTTATTTATTTTTCTCTCTTTTCAGTATAAAAGTAAAAATCTGTATTTTATTTGGAAGATTACATTTAAGACAATGTCTGTTCCTTAAACAGTATTTGCATATCTGTCTATGTGTACGTGTAATTATTGTTTTGGAAAATTAATAAACAAATAATTGGAGAGAAAAAAAGAAAATATATATATATATATATATATATATATATATATATATATATATATATATCTATACATCTATAAAATCAGTGTTGGTCTGTTTCAGAGTTTTCCTGATGTTTGTTTTGTTTCCACACATGGATTTTTCATATTAAATCATTCGACCAATCACATTTCAGCATCATCTGTTGCCGGGCAGAGTCAGAGTCACAGAGTCTGAGTCCTTCACAATCCAAAAACAAACGTCCATCAAACTGTGGCGGTTTCTGCCTCTGATCCTGAGTCTGAATAAAACTCTTCGATCACTTCAGCTCCGGACGTTTATAGATCGACAATTTCCACATCAAAAACTAAAACTAAAACTAAAACTAAAACTCCAGTCTGTTTTTTGATATATTTTTGAGCTCTAAATCCACTTGTGATTAAATAAATGTAAAGTCGAGCTGTTTAAAGTCACACTGTGGAACATTCCAGACAGAGTATCCATAGAAACAAACATGTGACAGACCCTCAACCTAAAAAGTTCCACAGTGCGTCTTTAACTCGTCAGGTTGTGTTTGAGTTTTGGTTTGTGTCGTCGTCGTTATTTTTTTGAACGTCGTGATAAAAAAAACTCTCTTTTATTTGTTTTGTGGAGTAAAGTCGCCGTTGCCTGGAGACCGTCTCTGTGATCGATGTTACATAATGCTCCCGTGCTGCACACGTCTCCATGGTAACAGAGGGATGATAAAAACAGGACAGTATTTTTAAAGTCCTCAAAATGGCGCCCGTGGACAGGTTCAGGGTTCAGCTGGTGGAAAGTAAAATCATGTTTTTGTTTTTGTTTTGTTTCTTTCTCAGGGGGAAATGCTGCGTGACTTTGCTCAACGAAACCGAAGCTCTGAAGTCGTATCTGGAACGAGAGGTGAGTGCGAAAGAGACAGACTGCACCTCGTGATGTCACAGGGTGGTTCTTTCTCCTTCTACTTTCTCCTTTTGCCTTTCTCCTTCTTCTTCTCCATCTCTTTTCTACTTTCTCCTTCTTTCTCCTTTTTCTCCTCCTTCTTCCTCCTTCTCCTTCTTTCTCCTTTTTCTCCTTCTTCTTTCTCCTTCTCTTTTCTCCTTTCTACTTTCTACTTCTTTCTTCTTTTTCCTGCTCCTGTTTTCTTTCTTCTCCTTTCTACTTTCTTCTTCTTCTCCTCCTTCTTCATTTTTCTCTTTCTCCTTTCTTCTTTCTCTTTCTCCTTCTTCTTTCTCCTCTTTCTTCTTTCTTCTTTCTCCTTCTTTCTCTTTGTGTTCAGTCCCAGTTTTTTTTTTTTTTTCTAAATCTGTTCACTTTAACAGTCAGTGTTGGAGCATCAGCGTCTGTAAATTCTTCTCTTTTGGTCTAAAAAAATCTCTGAATCACAGACTGATGTTCATTATTTTATGATTAAATTAAATAATTCCAAATGTTCTGTCTCTTCCTTTCGTTGTTTTTCCCGATGTTTGTTCTTCTTCCACACATGGATTTTCATATTAAATCATTCAACCAATCACATTTCAGCATCATCTGTTGCCGGGCAGAGTCAGAGTCACAGAATCTGAGTCCTTCAACCAATCAGATTAAACCAGGACTGAACCAGGACTAAACCAGGTCTAAACCAGGACTGAACCAGGACTAAACCAGGGCTAAACCAGGACTAAACCAGGTCTAAACCAGGACTAAACCAGGACTGAACCAGGACTGAACCAGGGCTAAACCAGGTCTGAACCAGGTCTAAACCAGGTCTAAACCAGGGCTAAACCAGGACTAAACCAGGACTGAACCAGGGCTAAACCAGGACTGAACCAGGACTAAACCAGGACTAAACCAGGACTAAACCAGGACTAAACCAGGACTGAACCAGGACTGAACCAGGTCTGAACCAGGTCTAAACCAGGTCTAAACCAGGTCTAAACCAGGGCTAAACCAGGACTAAACCAGGACTAAACCAGGACTGAACCAGGGCTAAACCAGGACTAAACCAGGACTGAACCAGGACTGAACCAGGACTAAACCAGGACTAAACCAGGACTAAACCAGGACTAAACCAGGACTAAACCAGGTCTAAACCAGGACTAAACCAGGTCTAAACCAGGACTAAACCAGGACTGAACCAGGACTAAACCAGGACTGAACTCTCTGCGTCGGTCCTTTTGCCCGCAGTCACCCAACGGTCTACACGGGTGCACTCTGGACCTGTCCTGACACTCAAACCTGTTTGAGTCCTGGTTTGGACCTGTTTGAGTCCTGGTTCAGTCCTGTCCAATCTTGGTTCAGTCCTGGTCCAATCTTGGTTCAGTCCTGGTCTAGTCCTAGTCTATTCCTGGTCCAGTCCTGGTCCATCTTTACCCCTGACTTAAAACCCAAACGTCAAACCCAGTGCAGTAAAATAAAAACAGAGCTCACGCTCGCACTCGTCTCGTCTCCTCGTTACCGACGTCTAAATTCTAGGTCAACATCCTGAATTATTCATCCAGAACCTGAATGAATAATCCAGAATAAAACTTTAACAGAGCCACAAGTTCAAGTACGTAACGTGAACGGAGCGAAGACACGAGTCCAGATCGGCCAATCAGAGAGCAAGAACACCACTCCAGAGTGACGGACAGACAACAGCAGCAGACAAACAGCCGCCATCTTGTGACTGTATCAGGAAAACTGTACCTGAACCCAGAGCTGGACACTTCCACTTCTCTGTCACTTTCATTTTTTATTTAAATTTAAATACGTTCATCTGTATTTAAAGGTGCATTTTTAGTGGTGTTGGAGCGTTTCACATCTCGGGCTTCAGTCGAGCTCCGTCTGAAACAATCCACTCCTTAAGAATTATTTTATGGTGATAAAAGTGTTTTATTCTACAGAAACACAGAATTAAAACCAGGACTAAACCAGGACTAAACCAGGACTGTCTGTCAGGACGGGTCTGATTGTGCGCCCGCGTGGACTGTCGGGTGACCACAGATGAAAGGACCACAGATGAAAGGACCACAGACGAAAGGACCACAGACGAAAGGACCACAGATGAAAGGACCACAGACGAAAGGACCACAGACGAAAGGACCACAGACGAAAGGACCACAGACGAAAGGACCACAGACGAAAGGACCACAGACAAAAGGACCACAGACGAAAGGACCACAGACGAAAGGACCACAGACGAAAGGACCACAGACAAAAGGACCACAGACAAAAGGACCACAGACAAAAGGACCACAGACGAAAGGACTCCGGGGCCGAGGCTCCACGTCGCACAGGACTCAGTGCAGCCGTCGCCCGATCACGACTTTGTGGACACATTCTCATTCGCTCTCAAGTCCAGGATTAGTCCAGGATTAGTCCAGGATTAGTCCTGGTTTAGTCCTGGTTTAGTCCTGGTTTAGTCCTGGTTCAGTCCTGGTTCAGTCCTGGTTCAGTCTTGGTGTAGTCCTGGTTTAGACCTGGTTTAGTCCTGGTTTAGTCCTGGTTTAGTCCTGGTTTAGTCCTGGTTTAGACCTGGTTTAGACCTGGTTTAGTCCTGGTTTAGTCCTGGTTTAGACCAGGTGTAGTCCTGGTTTAGACCTGGTTTAGTCCTGGTTTAGTCCTGGTTTAGACCAGGTGTAGTCCTGGTTTAGACCTGGTTTAGTCCTGGTGTAGTCCTGGTGTAGACCTGGTTTAGTCCCTGGTTTAGTCCTGGTTTAGTCCTGGTTCCCTGGTTTAGTCAGTCCTGGTTTAATCCTGGTTCAGTCCTGGTTTAATCCTGGTTTAGTCCTGGTTTAGTCCTGGTTTAGTCCTGGTTTAATCTGATTGGTTGAAGGACTCAGACTTCTGTGACTCTGACTCTGCCCGGCAACAGATGATGCTGAAATGTGATTGGTCGAATGATTTAATATGAAAATCCATGTGTGGAAACAAAACAAACATCAGAAAAACAACGAAAGGAAGAGACAGAACATTTGGAATTATTTAATCATAATGAATCAAGAATAAATCTGAATATTTCTCTTTTTTTCCCTGTTTTCCTTCAGGATGCGTTCTTTTACTCTCTGGTGTACGACCCGCAGCAGAAGACGCTTTTGGCCGATAAAGGCGAGATCCGAGTGGGGAACAAATACCAGGCTGACGTCACGGACATGCTCCAGGAAGGTAAAATAAAAACACGTGCTGATGCTAACTGTAGGCACTGCTCTGTCTGAGCTTTTATTACAGTTTAATCTGAGTCACTAAAGTCCAGTCAGACCAGAGCGTCAAAAAACCTGCTGGACGTGTCTAGTCGGGCGCCTGTGAGTTCAGACGCCCGGATGAGAGTCTTTAATGTCGTGGATGAACGGGAGAAAAATACTTGACGAGCGTCCGGGGCGTCTGTTGCCCTGGAAATAAAAACCTGATCCTGGTCTTTTCCCGGATCAATGAACCAGACTGAGAGAGACTTTAGTGTATTTATTAAATAAGCACATCAGCGGCTCCAGTGTGAATATATTTATACTCCACTAATGATGTTCTTTCAGTCCTGGTCTAGTCCTGGTCTAGTCCTGGTCTAGTCCTGGTCTAGTCCAGGTTCAGTCCTGGGGATCAGCTCGGTGCTTGTGGTGTGTTTATATTTATTCTCCACTAACGACTCGGCGTAGAGTTTCTTGTTCTGGTGTTTGTGGTTCTTGGGTCTTTCTCTTTCTTCTTCTTCTGGATGCGACCGATGCCGAAAGTGACATTTTTTCAACTTCTGACACCGACTCCTCGGACGCACGTCTAGAGCATCGATGCCTGAAAGCTCGAGATGTTTCGTGTTGACGCCTGAAGATGCGCCTCAAAAATGCAGGACTTCCTAGTCCACGTGTGTCAAACATACGGCCCGGGGGCCAGATCCGGCCCTCCAAGACCTTTAATCTGGCCCTCAGCTGATTTTCTACAAAAATGTATTAATTCAATTTTCTATTAAAATGTTGTTAAATTTTCTGTGGTGTTTATCACAGCAGCGTCTCCAGCGTC